CAAATGCTACTGCTTAACTTCCAGGTTCTGTGACCTATTTTTTCCTCTACTTTATCACTCAGGACCACTACTGTTACTTATTGCCCAGATTATGGAGTAACAGGTTAAAATCAACAACATTATACTAGCCTTAGAGCCTTATCAGGCACATACCAAAGTTAGAAATTTTGTTACTGTGAACTCAGGCCATCCAGTCCTACTTGCATTCTTTGAATAATCTTGCTTTAAACCAGTACAAAGTTGGTTAATTAGTCATGTCTAGGAAGTCTTGTAAATTTGTGTGTAAAAAGGTGGCTCAAAAATATGTAAGCAGTTGATTAAATAAACAGTATCAGGAAAATGTAAACATGGAAAGCATGGAATATCAGTAGCACTGATTTCTAGGAACAGGCATATTTAGAGGAAGGAAGGTGTAAAGAACTACGTCCGTGAATTCCAGCATTTGATTTATAGAGACCAGGGCCCAGATCCACAAAGGTATTTAGGCTCCTAACTTCATTGTATCTGGGACTAGGGCTTTGCTAGGAAGAGAAACTTGGAGGCTCTCTTTACAGGTTGGAAATCAATATTAGAATAGATCAGAGATAGATATCTTAACCTTACCTGAGGGTATACTCTGCTGAGAGAGAAAGAGAAAGAGAGGATTTATAAAAACCAACAGCAACAGGAATTTTGCTTGTTGATTCTCAGGAGCCAGGGTCCAGACTCACCATAAATTGGAGATACTGTCCAAAAACTCAAAATATCTAAGCAAGCTGTACTTTTAACCACCTCACTGCTAGACCTGCAGCACAAAGCATGTGCCTGATTACTAATGTAACAGCCAGGCTTGGGTATCAAAGCTAATATAAAATCGTAAGTGAAGAAGGAGGTCAGCAGCTGTCATGAACACTCCCATGAGTTATTCATAGTATTCTATAAGGAATTAATAGAACACTTATCTTTGAATGATGCATTCTTTGCTCACATTCCTGGAGTACTTCGTGCCCTAACTCAATTCCTGTTTTATTCTTGAAATTTTGGTGTGACAGCGGTGAGCCTGTACTGGAAACAGAAACTGTGTTACTTGTTTGAACTATGCTACTACTACTACTGTTTTTGTTTTCCCCCCATCCCCTCTTTGAAGTATTTGTTTTTAATTAAAAGCCCATGTCAGTTATTCAAGTTACAACCTCCAGAACTTGTTTCTCCCTCATCAGCACACTTTAGTTATGTACATTATAACCTAATATAAAATACTATGAAAGTGGTATTAGTTCGTTTTACACAATGCATAAATAACCTGTAGAACTCACTATATAATATTGAAGAAAATAGCTGAATTGTTTTAATGATTCTATGTTTATAAGGGAAATTTTCAAAAGCACTGAGGGGAAAGGCAGTAGGAGTTGTTATGGCAAGTGTCACAGCAAAGCTCTTTTATAGTCTTTCATGTTTTTTCATAGCATGCGAGCAAATGTTTAGTCTTGAGAAGGCATACTATGTATTTTTTATTGGTTATGCAAGCTTCTTGGAAGAGAGAGTTGTGTGAGCAACAGGAGAGCTTGCTCTCTACATTGATCTCTGACTGGAGTCCAGTCTTGGGAAAGTTGCTTCCTTGGAAAGACGCATTGGTGTTGAGTTGAGATTCCTAATGGGAGGGATTGCCTGCATGCAGTGTGATCACCTGTGTTCCAGGACTCGTGTTTATGTATAAATCATATTCTGACATTTTGTTACTGTAGTTCGTGTATATTTTTGTTGCAAAGTCAAGCACTTGAAAGTAAGGAAATGCCAGATTTAAGATTCTGTCCAAGCTTAATTCATCCCCCTTTTGAGTGTGCATTATGATACTAATTGGAAAAACAATATGATGAAGGGCCCCTGCCTCATTATGTGCACAGGTTGGATGCAAAAGGGGAATGGAATTAAGTTTGAATGTATTGGATGAGAATGCCGTACACCTGAGAGTGAGCAGCTCAGGTTTATTAATTCAAACCTTTATTTGAACCAAAAGCAACCAAAAACCACCTTGTGGTTATATTTACTATTAAAATAAGGGTACAGACATGGGGACCGTCATGAAAGACCCATAAGCTTATTTCTACCAACTTAGGTTAAAAACTTCCCCAAGGCACAAAACCCTATTTGTCCTTGGACTGAGGTATGCTGCCACTACCAAGTGATTTAACAAAGAACCAGAGAAAAGAACCACTTGGCATTCTCTTCGCCCAGCAATCCCCCCAAGCCCTTACACCCTCTTTCCTGGGAGGCTTGAGAATAATATCCTAACCAATTGGTTACAAAATGTTCAAAGACCCAAACCCCTGGGTCTTGGAACAATGGAAAAATCAGTCAGGTTCTTTAAAGAAAGGGGGGGGGGAAGAGAGGTGAAGGGTTCATGTTTAGTTATTCCACCTGGAAACAGTCAGGGCACACACTGACTGTTTTGTAGAAGCAATGCACACATTGCTCTATCCAAGGACAAGGACTAGATATGAACCATGAGAAGTTGATTAAAAGACAGTGACCGTGGGAACCTTTCTTAGCCTGGGCTCAAGGCCTGAGAACCAGGATTGTAGTAGATAAAAGTTGGTAAACAAGTATATTAATCAACGTCATACATTCCTTTGTGTGTCTTTTTGCGGTAGAAGTATGTAATGCATAGGGGGGAGAAATATAATAAAAGGGGAAGGTGGAAAGCTGGGGGCAGCAGCCCATTTCAGCTGACCAGCCTGCTTGCTTGCATAAAGCTGTGTTCTGTCTCATCATTGAACCGCCACAGAGAGGTAAAAATCGTCTCTGTAAAATCAGGATGGAAAATACTTTACAGGGTATTCAGATTCAAAACATAAAGGATTCCCCTCCGGGCAAAACCTTAAAGTTACAGAAAACAGGAATAAATTTCCCTCTTAGCACAGGGAAAATTCACAAACAAAACAAAAAATAAACTAATCCTCCTTGCTTGGCTTACCTATACTGATTGCAATATTGGAGGCTTGGATTAGGATGGGTTGGAGAAGATGGACTTCTGTCTGGCCCCTCTCAGTCCCAAGAGAGAACAGCCACAGAAACAAAGAACCCAAAACAAAACCTCTTTCCCCCTATCTTTTGTCCCCATTGGTTCCTTTGGTCAGGTGCCAACCAGGTTATTTGAGCTTCTTAACCCCTTACAGGTAAGGAGGAATTTTAGGCTACCCTCATAGTTATGACAGTAATTCATTTTGTTCTGTCTGCTATTACTTGGAACCACTTAAATCCTACTTTCTGTATTTAATAAAATCACTTTTTACTTATTAATTAACCCAGAGTATGTAATACCTGGGGGCAAACAGCTGTGCGTATCTCTCTATCAGTGTTATAGAGGGTGAACAATTTATGAGTTTACCCTGTATAAGCTTTATTTGGGGTTCGGACCCCACTGGGAGTTGGGCATCTGAGTATTAAAGACAGGAACACTTCTTAAGTTGCTTTCAGTTAAGTCTGCAGCTTTGGGGCACGTAGTTCAGATCCTGGTTCTGTGTTGCAGCAGACTGGTGTGCCTGGCTCAACAAGTCAGGGTGTTGGAGGCCCAAGCTGGCAGGGAAAGCAGGGGCAGAAGTAGTCTTGGCACATCAGTTGGCAGCCCCAAGGGGGTTTCTGCGATCCAACCCGTCACAACGTTATTACTCAATTTAAGGATATTTTGTTTTAAAATATTTCCCTCTGTCCTACACAGCTATTATAAACAAGTTTACTTATTAACCAGATCATTTAAGGCAGCATTTCATTATTAACCAAACTACACCAAAGCCAGCATTTACTGTTCAAACATATGCCTCAGACATGGCTATTTTAGCATACATTACTACTTCCCACCTTGAAACTCTCGATTTATTGAGGACTTTACTGGGTTGATTCAGGGAGTTGGGTTATGTAGTTTATTTAGCATCTGCGCTCCTTTCAGTTGCCAGTCTCCTAACATACATCACATTTTACAACACGTTATAAGAATTGTTATGATTAATATAGCTTGCACCAATAATAATTTAAAGCTAAATGCTATAACTGGATGATTTCCAATAGTATTTAGTTTCCACCAATTAACTGCGTTTAGAACTCGGTTGATTTGCTTAGTAATCTGACACAATTGCTGACTCATATATGCAAGATGAACTGGAGTTCATTACAAGAGAGACTAAAAGCAAATCCAATTTTGCAATGAGTACTGTAAAATTAGGGAGTGAACTCACAGCTTCACTTCCAAACTTCAGCTGACTATTAACCATTACAGAGTTAATAAATGTAGGTATAGATGTAATTTCATAATTTTTAATTATAGTTTCAAATTCAGGGATAAAACACCAATTGATCAATTGAAAACACTTTCCCTTCATAATTGTATTTTGTTTCCGACATAAGAGGCAATCAGTCTGGCATCCATTCTAGGCACTTAGACATACGGGGCCCCTGTCCCTGGGGTCATCCCCATTCCTGGGGTCCCGTCTTGTTACTGTGATCAGTATTGCAATTTGGTCGTATGGTTCCAAGGGCATTACACCAGGAAACCCACTTTGCCCACACCTCTGTGCAGCAATCCAAAGTAGAGGCAGCAGCAGCCATCTCAGTGACAGTGATATACTAATTTTGGCAGCTGTAGGCTGACATAATTTGTGTTAACCGAAGGTTGTACTGTAGACATTGTTACCCCAAAATCTCTGTTATAGAATAATAAGGAGGTGACATATAAAGAACAGGTTCGACTTCTACCAGCATCTATCAACTGGGAGAGTTAGAAATCTGTGTGCCTCCTGCCTGTGTTGCATTGAAATAAAGGATAGAGAGAATATAACCTTAAACAAAAGAAGATTTATTAAGGGATAGTTACAACTGAGGTGGTGGGGGGAGGGAACCACTAAGGGAATCACTACAATACCCAAGAATAGATTCCAGCAAGGGGCATAAAGCCCAGACCCTTAAACTGTCCTTTGGTTAAACTATTAAGTACCCAAAAAACAATTACGGTCTCTCTTTCACTGCAGATGGAGGTCACCGGCAACTGATGTACCATCTCAGAATCTCAGGAACATCGGAGGATCTGGCTCTCTACTACTGAAGCAGGAGATCAACAGATCTGGGCTGATGGCAAAGTCTTCACTGGATCCTTTGGTGGAATACAGGAATGAGATATCAGGTAAGTAGCAAAGTCCTTGGCAGGTGTAAGTAGCTGAAGTCTTGATCCAAAGCCCACGCAAAGAAACTGGACGTGGCTGCCTCAACGGTGGACAGCCCCTGCGTCATCACTGACAGTTCCTTAAATGCTCTATGTGGTGCGAATTCCTGAGGCACACTCTGGCGGATGCTGCCCCTAACTGGTTCCAGCCAGCTCTCAGTCCCTCAAGTTCTGGAGGGAAACAGAGTTTCAGCAGGAAATTGCCATGAAGAAAGGATACCAAGATGGAGTTCAAACCTTTCCTACCACATGCGCCATCTTGAATTCTTAGATTCCATTTTGAATTGCAGCAACATTTATTATAATACATAACAAAAGTATAGCCATACACCAATAACATGACCTGACATTCCTTTTAGGAATCATTTAGTGGTTGTATTTATGATATGGTTTTGTCCTTGTCCACAAGTCACTGGATAAAATTACTGAGATATATCATTAAAAAGAAAAGGAGGACTCTGTGGCACCTTAGAGACTAACAAATTTATTTGAGATATCATTGTTACAATTACTTCTGGGTCACTGCTTGCCTTCTGAAAGGTGGAAAAAGGTCTGGGTGTAGTAGGGAAAATAGTGTTTTAGCCTAGGCAAGCAGGTTGGAATCTGGAACAACCCAGCAAATAGGTGATCGCCCAAACACATAAATGGTTCTTTGAGGCTGACATCATGAGCAGAACAACCTTAGGGATGACATGATAGACAACTGACAGACAGCCTACATGGCATCAGATGTCCTTTTCATTAAACCTTTATGTTATTATATTTATCATGATTAATCTTGGTGAAAGTGAAGTCCTTAATGTTCTTGCATGTCTTTCAGCAGGATAAATACAACTTTAGAATTTTTTATCCCTGAAGGATTTGCTTCAGATTTCACTTTTCCCTGTCAAGATAAAATGAACAGTGTATTACGTCGCTCAGTTCTGTGCACAACAAGAGTCATCTTGCTTTTATTGAATTCACATAGTATGGCAATTTTCAAGATGTTGAAGGTAATTCTCTAAACACAGGTTCTTTAGAAACCCTCTCACTTTGTTCCTGTGTAGGACAGGTAGTCCAGAGGCTAAACAAAATGAGACACTGCTAATGATAGCTCTTAAAATCCTTGCCATTGACTCAGCAAAGCTTCTGATCATGCATATAGGGAAAAGCTTGTACTGTTATAGATTTATATCTTGCCCATAATTCATCCTCATTTTGTCTAGAACTTGTCAATACTCGTGAAAAGAACTGGCTTTTAGCTTAGAACAAGTGAAGTTTCTAATAAAGCACAGTACAGAAGTTCTTATACAAGTTGTTTTCATTTTTAGAGTTTATCCCAAATTAAAGTTTTTACACCAAATACAAATAAAAAAGAAAGAGGTGGTTGTGACACTCTGTACCTTGGGGGACCACCCTTCACCCCCATGTTAATCCTTATAATATGATTGTGTGGTATCCAATGCAAAGTTTGTCATGTCGGGTGTCTTCGGAAGATTCATGATGCACTGAGCATTGTTGTTATAGTAGTGTTATAGGTTGTAATTTCATGTATATAGTTATGAGGCTGAAAATGTGTCCTCCTGGCTTAAAACAAGCCCAGACAAAACTTAAAACAAGCCTAGGAGCAGAGGGGCAGTTCACACCTCATCAGGGCATGTATGGGACAAACCCAGCCCAGCCTCACAGGAACAAAGGACACTGGTCTAGGCAGCAACAAAGGATCTGTTGGACACTTGAGTGAGTCACCCCCCTTCCCTTGATCAATTTGGGACTACGATGAGGTAATGCTCACCTGACTTTGAAGGGGGTGGGCAAAGCCAAGAGGGAAGAATGGACATGATAAAAGGGAGAGACATTTGCCATGCTGGCTCTCTCTTCCACCTCCATCTACAGACACCACCACCAAGCGACTGAAGCGCTGATCAAAGGGGAGAGCCTGGCTGAAGGGCAACCAGCCAGCCTGCGGTGAGAAGCATCTAAGTTTGTAAGGACACTGAAAGTGTTAAGATCAGCTTAGAATGTGTTTTGCTTTTATTTCATTTGACCAAATTTGACTTATGTTTTGACTTATAATCGCTTAAAATCTATCTATATTTCTCACAAAACCTGGATATGTGCTGGAAATGGCCCAACTTGATTATCATACACATTGTAAGGAGAGTGATCACTTTAGATAAGCTATTAGCAGCAGGAGAGTGGGGTGGGAGGAGGTATTTTTTCATGCTTTGTGTGTATATAAAAAGATCTTCTACACTTTCCACAGTATGCATCCGATGAAGTGAGCTGTAGCTCATGAAAGCTTATGCTCAAATAAATCACTTAACTGACAATGGACTTTGGGAAACTCCAATCCACATTGACATTTCCTGGGAACATTCAAACTAACATGTAAACAATGGCGTCAGCCTGCAAAAAGCTGAATCATTCATGGACATGTGACTTGCCCAGGTGGCTACAAACTCATATTGTCACTGTGATTTTGCACAGAAGAATAAAGGGATTTCTGCCCACAAGGGAGAGAACATAAAAGGCTCTGGAAGCCCCTCCATTTTGTGTTCAGCTGGCTCAAGAGATGGCCTCTCCACCCCAAAGAGGTGCCTGAAAGAAACTGGAACAAAGGACTGTAACTATGGGGGTGTGAGTGATTGCTGGACCCAGGCTATAAACCACAATGTTGGTCTGAAAAGGATTGGGCCCAGACTAGGAAGGAGTCTAGTTTGTGAAAGAAGCTTATTGGAACATCTCTGAGGGTGAGATTTACCTGTATTCAGCTTAGACTTGCATGTTTTGTTTTATTTTTCTTGGTAACTTACTTTGTTCTGGCTGTTATTACTTGGAACCACTTATATCCTACTTAATAAAATCACTTTTGTGTATTAATTAACCCAGAGTAATTAATACCTGGGGGAGCAAACAGCTGTACATATCTCTCTATCAGTGTTATAGAGGGTAGACAATTTATGAGTTTACCCTGTATAAGCTGTATACAGAGTAAAACGGATTCATTTGGGATTTAGGCTCCCAGAAAGACTGAATACTGGCAAAGTATCTGTTAACTGAGAAGCCCCTGGGCTAAGTGAATCTTAGTTTCTGTGAACTGCAAGGGGGCGTGACCCATCCTCTTGGTCTGTGCTGTAATCTACGGGAGTGGAGGGAAGCCTTCTCTAGCAGGGGGATTTGTTCTCAGTGGTATCCCAGCACATCTAGTTACAGTCTTGAGGGAGTTTCTGTGAACAAACCCATCACAGAGGGGAAAGTATAGTCTGTTTTGAAATATAAGGTAATCCGAGCTATACATTTAACTATAGCTTTTTTAAGCCAAAGTCATCGTACTTCAAATTACTGACACCGCAAAACCTAAAAGCCCTCAGTTCATGCAGTAGAATACATTTGGATCTGTCCTTATGGCTATGTGGAACCCTATTAACTTCATTGGGATTATGTGTAGGTACAGGGGCCCTCTTCTGGGATCCAGTTGCAGGGTTGCAACCTTACTGAATTTCTGTTCCCCTTCCAATATATTCTGTGAAGATGCAACAGCCTGGAAAATACTCAGTTATGCCTTTTGTAATTATGCTTTATCTTCTGAAGAAAAGGTGATGTTTAACGAACATGTGTATTGATTTACATCTGCCTTCATTAGCAATTTCTTTCTAAAAAAGATTGTTTCTTGGTAAACTGATTTCTCTCTCCATGGCTGGTTTTTATTGGAGTTCATTTCTGTTGAGTGGTTAATTCAGATGCAAATTATATTTAACTAAATAGGAGGTATTTACATTGTTTATTCTCCTCACTTTGTGTCTTCATTTTGTTCTGATATCAACAAACAGGTACATTACTATGCAGTATTTTCTCCTTTTTCCCTAGAGAAATCTATTCCAAAATAGCAGTGGAATTTATTCATGTAATTTTTATGGTCAGGTCTCTTAATGAATGCAAAGTTTAATAAAGCACTATGCAGTATTTTGACTTGGTATTCACAAAGGAGCAAATATTTGCCAACTTTTACATTTTGCAGCAAGTTTAATTAAAAAGTAAAATAAAGGTCACTGATTTGTGAAAGGTCACATTAAAAGGAAATGTAACCATAACCAAATGTGGCTTTAGGCCACATTTAGCACCTGCAGATCCTGTTGAATTCAATCAGATTTATGGATGTTCAGTTCCTCTGATAAAATGGGAAAATAGAAATGGCTTGATTATCACTTCGTAATTACAACATGAATTCATTATAAGACACAACATTTTAAAAGGTGTTATTGTGGTCAATAGCAGTGCTAAATATATTTTGTCTGTATGAATAAATCCCCACATTGAGAAAAAATATCTAGGAAGCAGAGAAAAATCTCATTCATATTAATATTGAACAGTCCTTAACATGGCTCAAATGAGCATAAGAATAATAGTTTAGGGCCAGATTCAACTATCTTTAAGATACATCTACACTTAAGCAGTGTGTAGAGTGCAGACACTACATGCCCAGCTAGCCTAGCCAGACACTACATGCTGAGATATAAATAGCAGTTAGACAATGAGGCCTGGTTTAGGTGAGTAGAGTAGACTGAACCCAAGGGAATATACCCTACATGACACTCTGCATGTCCATGCAGTGTCTCCAATATCTAGCTACACTGCTACAGTGTAGTATCCCACTGCCGGAGCCTTTCCCTCTTGCTGCTGGCCCTTTCCCCACTGCCTCCCTGCAGCCAGAGCCTTTGACCGCCGCACATAGCTGCAGACCTCAGTGACAAGCGTGAATGCAGCCAGCCTTTCACCGCAGCATGTAGCTATATGTGTAGTGCTTGTTCTCTACATGCCACCATAAATATAGACACGGTGTTATTCATGCAAAATGCACTCCACTACTGCACTGAAGTCAATAGATTTCATATTGATATTATTAGTTAAGATGCCACTAAGTATGAGCATACGTTGCAGAATCTGTCTTTAAGTAGATAGTAAAATTAGTCAGCTTTGAAGCTGAAAGAATGTTGAGTCAGTATTAGAAGAGTTACCCTGCTCCAGTCTTGGGGGTTGACTCTGTTATTCTTATAAGAAGCACACGGCATCTTTTTCAGGGGAAAAGGCAATATGCCGCATTTATTGAAGATACAACAATTAGCATATGCATTCAATCACACCACACACACACACAGTCCCTCCAGTCGATGTTCTAGTTACCAGTCCAGAGTCCGGATCAACCTAGTGGCCAACTAGGTTGATCACAGGTAGGGACAAGCCAGGTTCTGTTGGTCACGACACGATGCTCCGGGGAAGTCTTGACAGGATGAACCCAAAGTTTCATGGCAAGGCACCCTGTTTATATAGTGATTTTCCTTCATTGGGACCAATGAGTTTTGCACTGACATGCTGTAATCAATTGTTGTTTGACAAGTGCTTGTTTTCTTAAATTATCCTTCTCATCCTTTAACTCCTTCCTTGGGGAGTTATCCCATGCTGGTTTTGATCATAGCTATCTTGTCCCCATTGATAGGTGCCTGTCTCATCTTTGGAGTCATCAATCTGCCCTCCTCTGACATTTCAATAGGGGCGTGTTGCAGCCTCCTGGTGCCCTTGTGTCTGTCTCTGGTTCCTCCCTAGACCATCTGTTCAGCGATGGCCTTCACACTTCTCTCTTAACACACACATTCCTCATTCACACACAAAACAAAATTAATTTACACAGAACATTTTGAACAGGAACATCAAGTTGCAATGCAAAAGAAAACAATCATGGCATTCTTTTACTTATTTTAAAATGCTAAACCTACAACACATTGGTGACCCTCAAAGGTCTGTCACTGCCTTGAAATCAGCACAGACACTGTGATGGCTGATGTATCTGTACCAATGGCCCATTAGGCCATTCCTTTCTGTTATTCAAAAAGGGTGGCTGGCAGGATATAATCAAATCATACACCAATACATTTAATACATGTACATAATTATTATTCTTTATTCTTCATTCTAAATTATATAAAATATAAACATAAAATCCTATTACTACAACTTCCTCCTGGCCACTTTTCCCTGGGACCGCTCTCCAGATGGCCTCTGGGCACCTCAAACTGCTGCTCCAGCTGCCCCGGGACTGCTTCTGCTTGGATGGTCCCCAGAGCACCCCCAGGACCACTGTTTGAGTGTTCCCCACACTGGCCACTGTTCCAACGGTCCCCGGAGCCAGCTGCCTGTGGCTGCCCAAGCAGCGGCTGGTGCGGCTGGCCCCTGGGATCGCTGCTCAGATGCTCCCCATGGCCCCCCGAGGACTGCTGCCCAGGCACTCCTCAGGGCTGCCCCCAGAACCACTTCTCTGCGATCTGCGGGACCAGACACACCAGACGCTGCTCGGGCAGTCCCGAGGCAAGCTGCTCAGGTGGCCCTGAAGTCAGCCACACTAGCTGCTGCAGAAGTCATGGAGGTCATGGAAAGTCACAGAATCCGTGACTTCCGCAACCTCTGTGAAAAAATCGCAGCATAGTTAATAATGTTTTATACTTTTACTATATTTTTTGTGTGCATTAAATCTTTGTAGACTAAAACTATAAGGAGTTCTCTGTTCCAAGCTGACTGGGAAATATTAACACCTTCATTCAGGGTTATATATTCAGTAGCCCAGAGGTTGCCCTCTGTGCAATGCTTCCAGAAAAGACAAAGCTCTAGTCTGTGCCGCAGCAAAGAGGTCAGCTGAGATGAGGGGAGTGTCATAAGGTTGAAACATAGTGTTGCTCAGCATTCCCATACCCTGTTACCTAATCATGCCATAGGTTGTCTTAATTGTCACTGGCTATGTCTACACAGCAAAGAAAATCCAGCAGCTGGCCCATGCCAGCTGATTTAGCCTTGTGGGCTGTTTCTTTGCTGTGTAGAGTTCCGGGCTTGGGCTAGAGTGCAGGCTCTAGGACCAAAGTCAACACAGCAATGAAACAGCCCCACAGCCCGAGCCCAGATCAGCTGGCATGGGCCAGCTGCGGGTTTTTCTTGGCTGTGTAGACCTACTCACTGTGGCTATGGCTACACTTTTTTCAAAAATCCAAATGTGTTCTTAGCTCAAGTGAGTTAAGAACACACCTTTTTTTCCTAGTGAAGACAAGACCAGTAAGTTAACCAACTAAAATAAAGCTGGATTTTTTGACTCCCATCTTGTAATGATAATTTAGTATAGATGGATCAAATTTTCTTGTTTAACAACAAATTCTTATTTCTTCTGGTGTAATTTCCCTGACATTGATAAGAGGGGTTTCAGGACCAATTGGAAGCAATTTTTCTTGTGTACAGAAAAAATATTTAGTTAATTAATATGATAACTAATTGAGTGTTTAGTCAATTCAGATTTCATTAGCCTTGGGAAATTTTAAGCATTTATTTCTATAAATCAGGATTTCTGCATGTAGATGAAGTACAGATGGAATAGGATAGCAAACATTTCTGGCTAAAATCATTCATTATTGCCAACTCATGATTTTATCATTGTAAGGGAAAACTGAGTAGGCCCAAACTTTGACCAAGATAACTTTGATTAAAATAACTGTGTACAAGGGGCAGCAGAAGAGAAAGAATGGAAAGTTTAAGCAGAACAATTTGTAATAGTAAGTCTTATGAAATATAGCTGTGACTGCTAGTGTTAGGAGAGCGTTAACCGCAAAAGAACAAACTGTGAATAACAGGAAAAAGCTTGTTTTGATGTATTCCTCATAAGGAAAATGCTAATAAGGAAGTGTGTATAATTGATTGTGGTTTTAAGCTATATAAGCTTTTGTATTCCCTTTCAGGGGGCTGGGGGTCGGCAGCTTGGCTGTTGTTCCCCTGCATGCTTGTAATAAAGTGGACCTCAGGCTGTTGTGATCCAAACACAACGCGTGATAATTTTTTCCACAACATCA